CAATATATCACAATATATCATCTTGCTTACAGTATCGTATCGTGACCCCTCTGTTATGTTATGTATCGTATCACCAAATTCTTGCCAATACACAGCCCTATTGGTAAAATTACAAATCCTCAAACAAATATTGAAGTATTGTAACGAAGTAAATGTACTTAGTTACTATAAACCTCTGACGGTAAGATAAGTAAAAGTCCCGTACGGTAACTGTAAAGCCTTTTATGTAAAGCTTTATACATGGTCATTACCACAGAGTGGAGCTTTTATGAACCGTAAATAAACTCTCTACAGTAGTAATGTCATCACTTTACCATACGGAGATTTAAAAAAAGACTATAATGTGTATATATTTATTACCAGTACTACAGCACCGTGTGGAGCMTTTATTTACCAAACGGAAGAGTGATTACCATGAATAAAAGATTTATTTAAATGCACAAACAATACAGGCAAGAGAGGAAAAATCTGCTAAATAGGAGRAATTGTTGTCTTTATAGCAAATTTCAATTTGTAACCTTTGTTCTCGTGAGAGCTTTTYTAAGACCTAAAAAAGAAAATAKTAAAAGAAACAATGGAACCTTGTTTTTACAAGAACATTTAGAAACTAAACGTATGATGCACAGTGGCCACAATAATGTTGAATACAGCAGATGAAATCACATAAAATAAACATTTTCTGTACGTTGCGTAAACAACGTCCCGATTGTTCACCTCACATGTTTGTAAATTCATTTTGTGCAACATCTTGTTCCGGTTTTAGATAATATTAATAGTTGAGCCCTACGATAAAAAAACAAAAACACACAAACATCGAAGTCGTTTCACGTTTTTGCTGCTTTTAACTTCAGATAACTTCAGACCACTAGGATGTTTTTAAATTTTATTTTCTACAAGGTAGTGAGCCGAAAAGATGCACGAACTGGATCGACGAAGTGTTCATCTTCCTCCCCGCCGCCTCTTCACTCCTCCTCTTCCTCTTTTAGCTGCTTGTAGAAAAGAAAAGGGTGTAAAAGCAGCGGCCGCCYGCTGATTGCGTTCATTGAACCTTCAGGCTTTGACATTCAAAGCGACATGAGGGAAACACGTCTGACTGCACAGCTCGGGGTGCCGCTTGTAGACGTTATATTTGTTTTTTGGTTTGTTGTTATATGATGTATTGTTTTCTGTTTGTATAAAACAGGACCTCAAAAGAAGAAAAGAAAAAAAAAACAACACAACACATCACCTCATTTTTATTTTACTTTATTTTTTTATTTTCTTACCAAAACCTTGGGAGAAGAAACTACATTTTTGCACAACAGCTTAATGTAAAAACGTTAAAGGAAACAGTTAAACGAGCAGCTAAAACATGAAATAAGCTACGGTAACTTGGTAATGTTAAACTGCTGATGCAGCACTTAAAATGTGACTTTTCTGTTCAAATTTAAGTTTATCTGGTGGGAAATATTTTTGCAAACAAACTTTTTGCTTCTTTCAAAATTTTGGCACCTTTCTTAGAATTTTCATAGAATAAAGGAAAATTTGACCTTTTAGTAAAGAATCGTTTTAAATCAACTCTCCTGATCGAAGCCAAACTTGTAGCAAAACCAATTGAGCGTTTATGTATTTATGACAATTTGTCCTTAAAAAAAAAGAAATAAAAAGCTTTCGGTGTGCATTAAGTTTGTCCTCCCTGGGTTTCTGTGAGCTAATCTGAATTCTAGCACTTTCAACCTTAAAAAAAAGTATTTTTTTTTCTTTTAAAGTTTCAGCTTATATGTTCATTTTTTTTTTTTTTAAATTTTGTATTGATTGTGTACGTGCCATTAGTTGGATGTGTAGACTCTATCAACCTCTGTTTCTCTCCTAAGGAATAACAGTATTTTTGATATGTTTTCACTAATATTCTGCAACAAAACAGCCCTCTGCCCCTTTCTTTTTGCTTTACCAGCAGTTTTTCATACATTTCCCTGCTCTGTGGCCAAGTGTCTGAAGATCAGCAACAACCTGTTTGTTCTGAGGAAGCAGTGAAAAACCGACCGAGCACCAAAACTAAACCCGACACTAAAGGCTCGTTGCAACATCGAYTCAAACAGGTCGTTTTTAGACCAAATCTGAACAAAAAAGACGAGTTTTAACAGCCCTACAATAAAACACTTACTAATGAGTAGGGTTGGGCTTTAAATCTTTAATATTTTAGTTTTAATAATTACTAAAAACAACTAAGGCCAAGCCTGTTGTATAGAAGTAAAAAATCTAGGATTTGTATGTAACAAAAAATCTGCAAGATATACAAAAAAACGTAAGGAAAGTAATGTTCACAACTTTAACTAAATGTTTGCACACGTGTGGCTAAATTAAAGTCTGGATTAATCAGAAATATTTTAAATTTGTAAACTGTCTGAAAGATGAATAAAATTTGATTTCAGTCAGACGGCAAGAAATGGAGATGAGCTTCAGAAAAACAAAATCACCTGTAATTAAAAATTGACTAATAGCATCATTTT